CTGCACAGTGGTAACAAGGCATGATGGTTCCATGTTCTCATTCTGTTTACGCCAAATTCTGACTCTAACATCTGAATGTCTCAACAGAAATCGAGACTCATCAGACCAGGCAACATTTTTCCAGTCTTCAACTGTTCAATTTTGGTGAGCTCTTGCAAATTGTAGCCTCTTTTTCCTATTTGTAGTGGAGATGAGTGGTACCCGGTGGAGTCTTCTGCTGTTGTAGCCCATCCGCCTCAAGGTTGTGCGTGTTGTGGCTTCACAAATGCTTTGCTGCATACCTCGGTTGTAACGAGTGGTTATTTCAGTCACTGTTGCCCTTCTATCAGCTCGAACCAGTCTGGCCATTCTCCTCTGACCTCTGGCATCAACAAGGCATTTCCGCCCACAGAACTGCCGCGCACTGGATGTTTTTTCTTTTTCGGACCATTCTCTGTAAACCCTAGAGATGGTTGTGCGTGAAAATCCCAGTAGATTAGCAGTTTCTGAAATACTCAGACCAGCCCTTCTGGCACCAACAATCATGCCACGTTCAAAGTCACTCAAATCACCTTTCTTCCCCATACTGATGCTCGGTTTGAACTGCAGGAGATTGTCTTGACCATGTCTACATGCCTAAATGCACTGAGTTGCCGCCATGTGATTGGCTGCTTAGAAATTAAGTGTTAACGAGCAGTTGGACAGGTGTACCTAATAAAGTGGCCGGTGAGTGTATAAAACAAGTACACAATTCAGGACAATCTATGGAAATAAGTCCAAATATCATAATCAATGTAAACATTTTAGATGCACTTCTGTTGAAACGTTTTGGGTCAGCAAGATTATTTTAGATTATTATAAATTAGTAAATTTATATTATTATACATTTTTTGTTTGTTTGTTTCTTGAGCACCAACTCTGCATTAGTTATTTTAAATTGAAATATGACTTATTACTACTGTATTTTATCAAATAAATACAGCCTTAGTAAACATATAAGAAACGTATTTCAAAAACATTACCGACACCAAACTTTTGAATAGTAGTATATAATTTAATGGAAAATGTCACAAAAATGTATATAAATAATTGTTATACTAACAATACTGTCTGAGAGAACAACCTTTTCAAAGTCTTGACACAAAAATAATCATTGTTTGTGATTAAAAACTCATTATGAATCGAATAGTGCACAAACATAAGAGCATAATTAATCACTAAAGGAAGTGGCGGACTCGTGACAATGAATGCAAGGAAAGATGGAGCCATATACATATTTCATATTTTAACAAGTAGCGTATCTCACATTTTTCTCCTGCTCGGCCGACAGCGCAGATAGTGACGGATAGCGCCAGACACTGATGGAGATCTCATGAGCATCAATTAATGGCCATATGATGAATGGCACCATGGTACTCAACATGAACACGATGGGTGGAGAATGATGCAAAGACACTGTAACTTATGGGTGTGATAAATATGAACTGACATGCATGCCATAACTCCAGACTTGCTTCTGCAGACCTGTCCTTTGGGGAAAAGTGGCGGTTTATTAATCACATGTGCCTCTCTCACGATGTGACATTAGACATGCAGATGGTTTAATATTGATTAGATAGGTGGAAAGTGATAGTTGATGCAGTAGATTAAAGAAAAGTAGAGCAGAAAAACGATTTCTGTCTGTCCGAGGAAAACATGACAAACTGCATAATCGAACATCTTCTCTGCCTATCAGAGCATACACACAACACCAAGGCCAATTGTAGTCTAAATTATGTGTATACAAGCATGAAGACTTCTAAAGTGTTAGTCAAACTATTGTTTTAGTTCGACCTTTTAAAGTGCATGAAACGTACTATGTTTAAAGATATATCCAATCGTTCGAAATGGACTGTAAAGCAGGGCCGGCCCGTGGCATAGGCAGTATAGGCAAATGCTAAGGGCGCAAGCGCCTTAAACCCTAGGGGGGGCGCCAGAGCCGCGTAAGGAACTTTCCGCTTTTATTGTACTTCATTAACACTGCAACGAGTGGAGCAATTACATAAGCCTGCCAGTGGCGCAAAAAGTGGGTATACCGGTATGTGTAGCGGAGTAGGCGCCCTCATAAGATTTCATCATAGAATTTTGACAGGGGACCCCCCTCCAATAATATCGCGAGCGGGCGCCGTGAGCGCTGAGCGAACAGGGACGAGTAGTGAGTTGTCGTCGAAAAAGATAAATAAAGCAAAAAAGTGGCCGGGGGCGAAAATAGAAATAGCCCATTCGTTTTGTTTTGCTTAATCGCCGGCGCTGGGTTAGTGCTGGTGTAATGCATTGGTAAAAAAAAAGCTTTTTTTCTGACACCGCATGAAACGTGAAGATCAGCGGCCCATTGGTTGTTTTCTTGATTGACACTGGGCTGGCCCAATCACATCTTTAATGTGAAGTACAGAAAAATACTCTTTCTATTAGTATAGAAATTAGTACAAAACTTATGAAAGTTTCCTTTATTTTTCAGTGCATTGTTTTACAATGAGTATTATCATGGGATTAATATTATAACTATTATTATGTAATGTAGACAGACACTAACTAAAAGAGGTTTGAATTTTTCTTTGTTTAATTTGAACACTGAATATGGGTTGGAGCTTTTAATTTTGAACTCTCAAAGTGCACCAGATTGATGAATTTAACATTAAAATGCACAAAATTTTCTTACGGGGGATCATGCCCCCGAACCCCCTAGCCTTGTAGCAGCCTAATGGATTAGTAATAATAGTAGTGGTGGTAGTAATTGTAATTTATCTACTACAAGTTACATGGTCAGATAATATGCAGATAACAATGCAACTATGTAGGATGATTGAAATATCCTTGAACGTTCTTTTTTAGCATTTGTATAAACAATTTATTACAGTTCAAGTCATAATTTGCTTGTTGAAGTTTTGGAGTGACTATAAGAGCATTTTTGTTTAGTAAAATAAATACTCATTATTTTTAAGGGGGGGCGCAAAAATCAATCTCGCCTAGGGCAACCAAAGGGCTAGAGCCGGCCCTGCTGTAAAGCACTGTTCATCCACAAGAATTACAACGGCTCGTTAGCCTACATCAAGTTCATCCACCTAGAAAACTTTTCCCACTTTAATAATTCAGGTACTTTCATTTAAAGTATGCTTCACATTCTGCTTTTAAACTTCTGGAACGCTAGCCTATTTTACCTTCATTGTAAGTGCATTAGTGTAAGTGTGACTTTTGAAAAATGAATTATGACCACTGCCAACAGAGCTAAACTGGGACTGAACCCAAAAACACAGATCAAAATAGACATGTGTCAATTGACTTCTGTTGCTTTTGATAATATGTGACCATTGTGCATGTTATCATAGTGCCATCATCATTGATGGCTCTACAAAAAATAGATAGAATGATAGATAGATAGAACGATAGATAGATGGATAGATAGTGCTGAGGGCTAGCTTTCTGTGGAATGTCTACAAAAGCATATTTAAAGTTCAATGATGTTCTAAACTGTTTTTTTTACAACCTAATATATTTCTTAAAACTTGCACTGGCTTGTTGTCTGCCTTTTACAATAGCGACTAGGGCTGCAACGATTAGTCGACGTTGTCGACAACGTCGACAATAAAAATATGTCGACAAATATCTTTGTTGTCGAGTAGTCGTTTGATCTCACGTGACCTAATGTAAGGGCCTGCAATCCCGCGATTTGACCGCTACGGCGCTGTAGCGCTAGTGTAGTGCAGCCCTTACAAATGCTATTGCGGTAGAAGAGAAAACAGCGCGAATTATGACAGTGCAAACGAATCCGAACTAGCAAGGTTTAGGTTTGGGAAAGTTTCACAAAACTTCAAATCAAGAATGCTGTCGTGTGCAATTTTCACGGGAGCACAACATGCATGTTGGAGTGCAAGAGGAAACATCCCGGCAAAAGAGGAGCCGGTGAGAAGTGAGTGTTCTCCAGCTGGAGCTTACTAATCAGCGGCAAATCTCTCTTTATTAGAGAATGCAATACTACTAATAATAGTAATAATATTATCAATAGTAATATAATTACAGTAATGTGATGACTTATTTTGCATAGAATAAAGCTTGATCGAGCTTAGGAGTCAGGGCTGTTTTTATTATTGTAACACTATTAGTATATTAGGTATTATTATTGTCTTATCACTTGCCTGTATTTTGTTCAATAATCATGAAGACTTACAAAACGAGATGTTATATCCTTCCTATGATATAGGAAGAATATCATGGCAGTTACTTTATCATACTATAAATTAAAAGGTGAATGAGAACGTCTCTGTCAGCTCAATTGTCATGTAAAAAAAGATTGTAATTTTATAATTATAAAAAATTGTTTGCAGATTAATATTTTACCATTCAATTGTGTCCTGAAGTAAATGTCCCTTTTTCTGTTTCAGTTCTAAGAAAAGCAGTGGGCCTATTAAACAATGCTTAGAGAGCATTTGTGTGTGATTTGAGTTGGACCGAAATCTGAAAACTTAAAGAGAATGACCTGTTTAGTTGGCTCAAAGTTCATTAAAACAACTATTTCAAAAGCTGAAGTGATTTTCTTTTTTTATACTATAGTTAGAATATGTATAACTCAATGTTTTAACTAATTGGAAAAGCTGAATAATCGTTCCAAACTTACTGATTAGTCTGCGGAATAATCGATGATTAGTCGATTAATCGTTCTAATAATCGTTAGATTAATCGATTATCAAAATAATCGTTTGTTGCAGCCCTAATAGCGACTCAACCTATCAAATCTGGAAAGAAGTTTCAACAGTGAAGTCCTCCATGAAATAGTCATCTGATCCTAAAGTTCATACCAGGGACAGGTATATTTTAGGTAGACAGCCGTCACACTCATCACAGGGATATCAAACACAGCTCACCTCTAAAATCTCCTTTACCGGCTCTCACTGAGAATTTAAGCATTGTCTGAAGTTTCTTGTCATAACCCTCCCCTTGATCCACCTCAAGTGCCTCATTTGATGTTCATCTTTGAGTTTCTCGGTTTATTTCACCGCCCCCTGGATCCTGAAAACTTTCTCATCCCATCTTCCCTCATCATTCCCCCATCCCCCACCTCCAGTTTTGCGTAGAGCCATCGAGCTACTCTCTGGCGGCAGTAAGCACAGGTTTGTCTTGATGTTCTGAAATGGAAAGGTAGGTCACAGATGAATAGTGCCTGCACTCATTTCTGGGGCAAGCAACACCATCTATGGGAATAAAAAAATAAAAATAAAAAAACATGACATTTCAGCACACTAGATATACAGAAGGGGTGGTGGTAATGCGTTAGTCACATCAAGCTTCAGCATTTTCTAACTCTACTAGCTTGATAACATGCTATTCTGAAATAGCACACGTAAAGAAAAAGAAACACATTACAATATCACAGTCTACATGCACCGCAATGATTTTTAATTTAATTTATTCAGATTTCAAGGCGTCATAACCGTACCCTACCCCAGACCTAAACCTACCCATAACAGTGCGTGTTATATTGACGCTAAAGGATGCCATGTGCGTAAGATTTCGACGAAATGTCATATGGCGTCACCTATATGACGCCAAAGGATGAGAATGCGTTGGAATATTTGTGTTAATCTGTCTATCCATCCATCCATTAGACTTCAAAGACTTTTTAAACAATTAATAAGATTGAAAAAAAATATATATTATAATAATCAAAAAACTGCACACATCATCTTTATTTGGATTGATTTTGAATAAAAGGTGTCTAATGTTTATTGTTTCATATAAACAGCTCAAACCATATTCAGTAGAGAACACAATGGAAGGAAAACACACACTTTAAAACACAGCTTTCTTCCCATCAAGCTGTAAGTGATTTCCATTATTCTCTGTTCTGTGTTTGCTGCGAAGGCAACAAAACCTTTGATTATGTTCATTTCCTCACGCTCCCTTGGTTCCGCAAGAGGAGGAGGACAGTAGTGTGATGAATGACACACCATTGAGAGTTTGACGCAACGTCTTATCTGTAGTCTGACACCTGATTGACTCTGAGGCGTTAGACTTTTATGTTCTATGATGGCTATTTAGAATCCATTTTCTCCCAGTGGAGGAGAGTGCAGAAAACAAGGAAGGAAGTTCATTTGGCAAAGCGACAGAAAAATAATTCACCCAAGCCAACTCTGTTAGGGCAAAGAAAGGAAGATACTGAGAGTAAAAATTAAATTCAATAATTAATTAACTTGTTGGCAGTGTTCACCCTCACACCCTCAAAATGCATGTGGCAGGAGACAACAGTACATGAAGTGTGAAGCACCAAAAAATGGTTCAATTGAATGGACTAAAATGACAAATTTCACATTTTCTCATTTCATCTGTAATTGCATATTATATGAAACAACAGTGTACTTTGTATCATAGAGAACCATAATAAATCTAATAAAAACTCTTTTTTTATTCATTTTATTTGAGAAACAGAACTATTGTGGAGTATTTGTGACACTACAAATAAAAATAAATACATAAATAAAAAAACTCTCTTAAGGTGATGATACACAGGGCAACTTTTTGAGCAATGTTGCCGTCAACGGGCAACCAGATGAGACACAGGGCCCACAAACTATCTAAATAATCCAGATAGAAATGTATTCCCCATTTTCAATGTTGTTGTCCCAAACAACAATCGCTCGGCAAGATTGCCCAGCAACATTACTCAAAAAGTTGCCCTGTGTATCATCACCTTTAGTGTTAGTAAAAGTAGATATTCTTAATGATTTACTGCCAGCTGCACCTCGGGTTTGAAAGCCATGGCTTCGTGATTTTTGAGAAGTGTCAAAGTTGCCAACAAGCACAACAGTCAGTTATAACACCTGTCAATGTCAGTGTCACGTCAAAAAAAAAATCTGCACGGCATGTAGTGCAGTGCCTGCTTCTTTTTTTGACAATTTCTGACATTCCATTCTGAGGTTAGCAACAATTATATATGCTACATACAATCAAATAAAAATTGCAAAATATAACCACATTTCTTTCCAAGATTATAGTATGGTGCTGCTCATGGCAATTATACAATTATATAGTTCACTTCTGTTTAACTGCATAACTTTAAAAATAATTATTTGCAGTATAAATAGCCAGCTAGTATTCCATTCCGGTCAATATTTGTTTACTGTGCATATCTAAATGAGCGCTATCAACCCCAACATAATATGTATCTCAATTTCAAACTGCAACCACAAATACTCATCAGATGGTCTATGCTCACAGTGAGACCCATCAACCAAAAACACGTCAAGGAAAATATCTAAAAATGTCCAGCAAGTAAAATATCTTGAAATCCAGAGCGAGACAATCTCCTGAGAGTAAAGACAGCAGTTGGTGGGGACGTGCATGGTTTATATCGGCAGCTGGGAGCAGCTGGCTTGGTCTCATTTAACAAGACTAGTGCCAAAAGTAATTAAACTTTGTCATAGATAAAATGGTTGCCTGCAACATATGTCCAGTACTGCCCTACAAAGCAAAAAGGCAGTAACTGCATGTTTGGTCAAAAATGAGTTATTATCATTTTCATGACATTCAAGGCATCCTTTGTTATGTGACAACACATCTTATCTCAAATGTGTGTCGTTTTGGAGAAAAATGGTAGTCGTTTGTACAGTAACTGCAAAAAGCCCTAGTGAAACAAAGCAAGAGTACAGTAACATCCATTACTGTATTCTTGTTATGTTTTACCTAACAAAAAATAACCGTGTTTCTGCGCAGTGCAGTTATACTGTTGCCATGGTGAACACACAGCTGATTGAGTGATTGGCATCCTCACGGGACGATTTTAACATTTGCGATTTCACCCTTCTAACTTCCCCTAATTGTTCCTCTACCAAACTACCCCCCTCCCCTGAAAGAATGAAAAAAATATTCCAGAAAGAAAAAAAAGGTGCAAGAGCTCCATGTAGTGACTTTAGCGCAGGGTTCTCAAGTTTGATCAAAAGCTTGGAGTGAGATCACATGCGGTTAGGGGAGGAGCCTTAATGGAGCCCCGCCCCCAATTTTACCCATTGTTCATAATAACCAGCACAAATTGAAATTATAGCAGTTGGTAAATCTGATAAATGACAGAGCAATTCATCACATCAAATATAGGCCTACTCTTTAATGTTATATTTCAAAATTACAAATAACAAATTGTTTCAAACAGTTTGGAAAAACAAATCTTTTTGCATTTTCCCCTGACATCTTTGAAAAATACAAATGCAATAGCAATGATTAGGCTATGATTAGTATGTTTTGACAGGATATAAAATATTACCCACACTCTAAAAAATGCAGGGTTAAAAAATAACCCAACCTTAACCACGCCGCTGGGTCACTATAGGACAGAACACGCGCTGGGTTGGTTTGACCCAAGTGCTGGGTTTTTCCATTTAACCCATATTGTTGGGTCATTCATTTGACCCAACCAGTGGGTGAAATTGACCATCTTGCTGGGTTAAGTCTTACTCATGTGCTGGGTTATTTCCTGTATCATTGCCTTATTAAAATTAGTAACAAATATTGTTATATTTAATATTTTTTTGTAAACAATTATTACAATTATACAATGTATACTCATTCTAAGGTAAAAAAACATAACGGTTCATTAAGTAAGGTCTTTATACACCACTGAAAACATAGTTATGTATATGATATTGCATTTCTGTTAACAGATCCTCCTAAATACAGTATTACACAATGCACCTTTAAAAGTCAATAAGAAACTAATTTGAACTCTTATACGATTATGATTTCATTTATTAAGATGTGTTGATTTATTAAGAATAGCTACAAACATTTACAATACGACTAAATATCACAGGGTTTTCCTCACATTTGACAGAGGACGATTCTTTTCCATTAATTTGATACACTGCTTCGTGTATTTAACATGAAAAACAAAATAAAACTTTGAAACAAAGATCACCAGCCTCCAGCAAAGACTCGGTCTCGATGACGTGGCCTGGAACAATGGCAACGGTCTGACGTGTCCCCCTCGTCGGATCCCTGATGCTCCAGTCATTTTGTAAATATTCATCCATGTTGGTCCCCAACTGTTGATTACACACAATCACTTAAGAGTGTTGCAATATAACTGACATGCAAGTTTTTTGTGAAAGTATTTATATTTTTTTATTGCAAACATTACCAGATATGGCCAAATGTGAAAAACAAACAAAATGTATATTTACACATCTAAATAGACAATTAGCAGTCTATTCAGGATAAGACAAAAACACGATTTGGAAAATGGATTCATGATGTACTCGCTCATTATAAACATTTTGTAAATTTTCAACACAAAAAAAGTTATGGACTGCAGCTTTAAAAATGAACAAAAATCTATTTTAAAAAAATGCAATTTAATGTTGCAAACAGAGATTGCACCTTTAAATATTCTAAACCTAAACTAATTTCATAGTTATCAAGCATATCAAACTTACAGGTTGCATGTCAAGTACCTCTGAGCCTCTGTGGTGGGTCTGAAGCCCTTTCCTCCTCTCCTGTAACGTTAGATGGATGGGGGAAGCAGAGTTTGCAGGACCTTCAAAGCCAGCAGCTAAACAATATGAGCATAATACATAAAGTTGCATTATCATTTAAATAGTATGCTGTATATAACAATTCATATTTCTAAAGTAGCATTTCTGACTTTTCTGCCCTGGTGTTTAAAATGGCGCTGTTGTGACAATAGCAAAAACTATTTATTGGCCTCAAACATCGCGCACACTTGATCCATGACCACTGTCTTAGTAGTAGCCTACTAAATTATTCTTAGTAGGCCTACCTCAGGACCTAACAACTTATAATGGGTTCAGGGCGAGAACATGCTTAATATGAAATCGATTTATTTCTCATTGCCTCAGTCGCCGTTTGTAAAGATTGCACGTCAGACGTCATACAATTATTATTTGATTTTTTTGGGTAAAAACGATCCTGGTTCCGACATAGACATTACAGAAGAAACACGCAGACTGTGCTGGAACTTACCCCCGTCGCTTCTTCTGACGAGAATTTCTTAATGTGCCAGCAGACTTTAGTTTCCACACAGACTAGACTTTTTTCCCGCAGTTTTTACGTACGTTACGAGCCCTATAGGGACATAAACATAGGCTACTGCGCGTGCACGGGTTCATTCAAAACGCTTTTCTCACTTTTAATTACTAAACGTCCACAATAAATACGATATTTACGTGATGAAATTACAATTTAAACTACATATTTCATTAAGGCTGCTGATATAGCTGGTTTACAATGTGGCATTTTGTCAAAAAAATCTAACCGGCTAGCTGTTACTAATGTTTTACAGAATAAATACGTTATAGCCTACCCCTCGCACTTCCATATCAAAGACTGTATGCTGAACAGTGAAATTATTAATGTTAAAAATATTGGTAAACATATTAACTTACCATAAAACACTGCCTGCTCCGACCTCCGAGTGAAGTCCTCCTCGAGTCAGAAGTGAAGAATCCAGAAAGTTCCGCAAAGAATAAACCGGTTGCTGGGTCAAAATAACCCAACCAGCTGTTTATTTGTGAATTACCCCCTTACAACTCATTTTACCCAGCATGAGCAACCCAATAATGTGTTTACAGTGCCCCAAACAACCCAGCATTTTGACCCAGCACAATCAACCCAACAATTTGTTTACAGAAACAACCCAGCATTTTTTTGAGTGCAGGGCACTCTGCTTTAATACACGTAGCCTTAATGTAACTAGAAAGACTATTAATACAGTATAATATATAATTTAAAATAAAATTAAGAAATACATCCTTTACATTCCCTTAGTTTCAGATAACTAGCCAAACTGAGTCAAAGCTTCTGGCCTGGTTGCAAAGTAGTTGTAGAGTTTTTGACTGCATCAATAATGTATACGAGGGACTATATATGGTCTATGTTTATGTTCTAGCCTAAAAATGTTAGGCGAGCTTTCTTCCAACTTACATTCTCCATGACGACGTGTGTTCGCGCGATGTTGCGGTGGCCGAGAATAGGCTTGTTTGAGATGAGCAAAATATGCGCAGAACCGATCACCGGTGATCAGCGCGAGATGCATGCCGGTTAGAAATGTGTCTGAGAGCGGTCCGCCTTGCTCTGATGTCATGCAGACGTATGTCAAAAAACTCTCGCGACCGCAAGGCGCACGTGTCGGATTCTGCAGTCGCGCGCAGTTGCTCTCCACCGACTGCGCTGATCAAAAGCACGATGGGAAACGACTTGCTGACGACACAGCTTAATGCTCATTGGTTTAAACAACCGTGATGTATTGTTCTCTTTTAAAATGTTTGATTTTAAAGCTCTGATATCATGTTTTATGTGTAGAAATTATGTGTGGATATCCCCAAACTCTCTGACAGTGCATCTATGTGATGTAATGTTTAAAAAAAAAAAAAAAAAAAAAACACATATCTGTATTAAAGAAAAAATGATTCATAAACATGTAGGCCTATTTAAAATGGAATTAAATAAGTGCTTTGGGTGTCTTGTTCATTATATTTATTTTCATATTCAAGCAACAAAACTTAAATTACATCCAGTTTATTAGCAACAGCATACACGAGTGTGAAACCCGTGAATCCCGCGATATCCTCCTTTGATCTCACAGGTGTCTGATCCACTGCGAGAAGAGCGACCCGTCCGGCTTGCCTGCGCTTTTTTCACTCCTCCTCTCACTGCAGCCGCCTACTCTCGACTACATTTCAGGCGAGGCAAGGCGCATCTCAAACAAGCCTAATATGTCCGTCAACTTCCGTACGTGTGTTCGCGGACTTCACGCATCTACCCAGCCAACATTACAGGGTGGGGCCAATGTGGGCCCAATATGGGCTTTAAATATGGGCCCTAGATGGGTTTGTCCACGGGTTGCACAATGGCCCCACCTTGATTAGCCCACATAAATCTCATATAGAATCTGAATGGGGCTTATGTGGGGCCCAGCTGGGCAACATACATGGGCAACATACTGCCCCCACTTTATGAAGCCCACATGTGATATATGCCCAGAATGGGTTTTTCATTGGGTACTAGATGAGGTTTATGATGCATCTGGCCTAGAAAGTGTAATTATGTATTAATTATACGTTTTATGCTTGATTGTCAAGTCACCTTCATTTATATAGTGCTTTCTACAATACAGGTTGTTTCAAAGCAGCTTTACAGTTAAAAGTGAAAATTTGTAAATTTACCTTATGTATCTATGTGATTAATTTATTTGTTTAGAATAGATAACTGATAAAAGTAACATTATTTCAGTTTGGGAAATGTCAGTTTTCAGCAAAAATATTCCACTGTTCATTCATCTATAACATCACAAAACATGAAAAGTGCAATTTAAAAAATGAAATAAAAAAAACTGCAAAGGTTCAGTATGTCAAAATGTTTTATTACACTTGAATATTTTATAAATCTTTCAAATACATGTTTTTTTTATTATAAAATCATCAAAAATCACATTTGAACAAAAAAAATGTTCAGAAGATGAACGAAGGTCTTGCGTGTGTGCAACGACGGTGAAATAACCCTTTAAAGGAACACGCTGACTTTTTGGGACTTTAGCTCCTTCACCGTATTCCCCAGAGTTAGATAAGTCCATACGCACCCTTTCATCTCTGTGCGTGCCGTAACTCTGTTTGACGCACCCACCGCTAGCCTAGCTTAGCACAAAGACTAGAGGTAAACGGCTCCAGCTAACATACTGCTCCCAATAAGTGACAAAATTATGCCAACATTTCCTATTTACATGTTGTGATGTGTATAGTCACAGCGTGTACAAATAACAAGGTCACATGAGACACAGCCATCTTCTAACCGTATACATACTGGGAACTATATTCTCAGAAATGTTATTTGTACACACTATGACTATACAAATCACAAGATGTAAATAGGAAAATGTTGGCGTTATTTTGTCACTTATTGGGAGCAGTATGCTAGCTGGAGCCGTTTACCTCTAGTCTTTGTGCTAAGCTAGGCTAGCGGTGGGTGTGTCAGACAGAGTTATGGTACGCATGGAGATGAAAAGGGTATGTATGGACTTATCTAACTCTGGGGAATACGGTGAAGGAGCTAAAGTCCCAAAAAGTCAGCGTGTTCCTTTACAATACTTGGGCTTAAAAACAGCACAAAAAATATTACTGTACTTGAGATGGTCTTTTCTCCTGTTGTCCTCTAATGGCTCTGTTTCCACCCCTGTCTTTAGCTTCAGTGAACCATTTGGTGAGAGCCTTTTCTGCCTGTTTCTGGTTGACTTCTTTGGTCAATGAATTCTTCTTCAATCCACCTGCATAAAAGTTTACACACAAAATTCCTAATATTAATTCCAAATTATGATCATGATTAAAATATGATTAATCATGCAGCACTAGCGTGTGTATTGTTAAAAGTATTGCACAAATGAAATTCACTTGACTTATGCATAGGAGTACAACAATAAAACACTTACCGTATATGACCTCAAAAAGGCGCAGATCTCTAAATCTCTTCTTGCCATGACGGCCAAACAGACTGTACTGGATTGCCACTTCATTTGAAATTAGGAATCTCATCATCCTTCTTGTTGCATCATCCAGTGAAGAACCACCAACATCTGCAACCATTGCAACCTAAGTACAACCAGACAGAATGATTTGTAGATGATATGCGTAAGTCAGCTTCAGAATGATAAAAAATAAAAACCAACAAGCAACATGAACACTGATCATGAACCTACAACACTAGACATGAATCTTGGGTCAAGCAACTTTTCATTCATAGCTTCCACTTCTTCTGTTGTTGTTAGAGGGAAGACAGCTTCTTCAGGAACATTGGGCAATGACTCATGGTTGTGCTGCTTAAGCAAAGCATTCAACATGTTGCTATGCACTCGCTGAGTCTCTTTCACTTCCTCCAGGAGGGTTAAAAGCTTGACGAACCTAGCATAATCGGTGGTGGCGATTCTCTGACCGACAGGTCCTGCAGCAGTGAATCCCTGTGCGGCAGGTCCGGTGTTGGCTGGTCCTATAGCTAGGGGTGGGCGATATGGCAAAAATATCTTATCACAATTTTGTTCAGGAATATCATGATTCACGATTTTAACAATTCTTTTTATGTTGGTTTTACTGTTTTGCAAGTGACTGAGCGGCACAGTCAAACTAATTTCCCTATGTTAAAAACATAGCCTAACAATGTAACAAAATATAAAAGAAAAAAAAACAATTAGACATTTAGGCCAAAGATACATTTAATTATTTTATCTTTGTTCAAAGTAAATAAATAGTGCTTTTATTTTTTTTAGCTACCGTAGTATAATATTTAACAGTATCATTCACCATGTAGACTTCACTGTATAAATTGTACATGGTTTCATAAAGCTACTGTATAAAAGATAATGAAAAAATGGAAATTCTGTAATTATTTTCTCATCCTCAAGTTGTTTTAAACCTGAATGAAGTTATTTCTTATGTTGATCATACAAGTTATTTTGAAGAATGTGGGTAACCAAGTCCAAATAGTTGCGGGTCCCCTTTTACTTAAATATTAGGAAATAAAAACTATGGAAGTCAGTTCAGCAAAAGACAGAAACCAGCGTGTGCTGTCTGTCACTTTAAGACTCATGTGTGCATGTAATAGATACAAATTTGATTTTCTCTCAACTGTTTACTTTCACTTTAGACATAACTGACTGTTTATATAAACCATTTGTGTATTTGACTATATTAGCACAAAACCCACCTGTAGGAGGGAATCTCTGAGCGGCTGGTCCGGTGTTTGATGGTCCTGTAGGAGGGAATCTCTGTGCGGCTGGACCGGTGTTTGATGGTCCTGTAGGAGGGAATCTCAGTTTGGAAATAAATTACATAAAGGCTAACATTAGCATGAGTTACGGACTTACGCAAAACCTCTGAATCTTTGATCACTGGATCTGTCTACACTAAAAGGAATCTTGCATAATTTTTGGACTATGATGAGATCATTTACAAGAGAGCAGAACGTGCATACCACAGTCTATGGTGCGTAACGTTACACAAACGTGACTCATCAGCGGTAGGCTAACGTTAACATGAACATCTCTGGCCATTGCTAACTGCAACATGAAGTGTGATTAGTTATAAAACTAATCGCAACAAAAATGCATAAAAATACATCTACTACAACGTTAGCAGATCTAAATAAACTTTTTAATGGCCTTAAAGCCAGGACATTCTCACTGCAGACTTGAGCGGGACTGTTGCCTAGCTGCATAAGTAAATTAAAGGCAACCATTTTTAACGTTAGCCCTTGCCTTCAAAAGCAGCATTATTCCGTGTTTAGACACTCATCATATGTCGGATACCTTAAAAATTCTGAATTATGCCATTAAAAGTTGTTATTATAAATTGGTGTTATCATCGGCTGCTGTGGAAAGTTTTACGTTATGCTAACGTTACCTCAGGTGAACACAAAAAGCATAATTAAAGCATAAAATCTATAAAAATGGGAATGTGACTTGATTAATGACATGCAAAAACAAAAGTACACCTTACTGTCAACAGAAATGACCTAAATTTTAAGCCCCACAAACATAATAGGCCTAATTTACTGTTACGCGCCTAAAATAAAAAGACAACTTAACGGCTAAATTAGTTTAAAGGTCATTTCAGGTGCCAAAACAAAGTTCGCTATGGTTAAAAACACAGATAATACAGACATGTTTAGAAAATATTCATTTTACCTGCTTATTTCTTTATCCACGACCTCGTCGAAATATCCAGAAACGATTATGAAGTGAAGTCTGAAGTGAAGTCGCTCGCTTCACCGGCGCCACCGCTCTACGTTTGAAAGAAACTGTATCCTTGCGCCTGGGCGGGAATTCTTGTAGTTTGAATTTTTAAAATCTTTATAGTTGTATTTTCAATTTCCGATTATTTTCGGCAAATATTATATGACATATGATATAGTGATATGTGGAAAATTCGTAATTAAAAACATTCGAAGCAGGACTACTTTGGCATGCGTAATGTGTCGTCAGTCAGTGACTAGGTCATGTTGAACCCGTAGGTCCCATATGGGACCCACTTAATTTCTGACATTTCTTAATTTCTCTCATTCCCAGGTTTGCAAATTGGAAATAAAATACATGTTTGATAAATTCATAGGCAGTAATAATGATAATTCAAACAAAATGAAAGTCACAATAGAAAATAATGCATTTTATTTAAAAAGTTGTTATCCTGATCAGATCCTATCTATGATATTATTTGTTATTTGTATAAAAGTGACTATCAACCAAATGTTATCATTTCAAAAGTTTAAATGTATAAATATATATATTTTAAGCATGAAATTATTTTGCCCACATTGGTCCTATGAAGGTCCCATATTATCATTCAACATGGGCCTATATGTGACCCACATAGTGAAACCCACATGGGACCCACATTAATTGCCCATGTTCAGCCCATGCCCACAAGGAACCCATGCTGCCTGGATATAACCCACATGGGGCCCACATATCAATGTTGGCTGGGTATGTTGCCTAGTAACGACGCAATCTGGCCGAGATACGGACGCGCTGGCGGCAGGAAACTTCACTTTGTGTGCCTGCGCCTCGTATACAACGTTATGTATAAAGCTTGCAGGACAACTTGGTTGGCATTGCCTTTTCAGCGTGAGAAATACACTGTGTGGCGTGTGAGCGTGTGAACTGGTTGAATTGCGTGTGTCTCACGGCCAATGCGTGAGACTTGAGAAGTGAGAACCCTGACTTTAGCGGTTACTATGATTTTCGCGATATAGCAGTTCAGTAGACTTGAAATTAAATCGTGATAGGCTACTGTGTGAATATTAAACCGCAATAATAGTAGGCCTACTATTTAAATACAAATCGTCTCAGGTTACAAATGTAACCTTTGTTCCCTGAGAACAGGGAACGAGACAATACGTCATCGACGTTATGGGGAACGCCTCAGGCGTGACAGGTGTCTGAAATCACTATCAAATCACGTCAATCACATTGACCGGCGACAGCCCGTGAATCATTAGCGTGAATGATTAACGTGCGACCTGGAAGTATATAAGGGCGCCTTGCAAACATGACAAATCACCTTATCGTCTGAAGGGACTGTACGGCAGGCAAGCCCCGAGGCATGGCAGGGAGACGTATTGTCTCGTTCCCTGTTCTCAGGGAACAAAGGTTACATTTGTAACCTGAGACGTTCCCTTTCGAAGGGAACTCAACAATACGTCATCGACGTTATGGGGAACGATATACCCACGCCGCCATGCTGAGGGGAGTGCATGCCCTCAGGCAGTGACAACTGTCCGAACCAGCAAATTCAAATGAAATGCTAGAACCACTCACCCTCAGGTCACACTGGGCTGTCAGTGACAGCATTCCCTACGGTCATAGCCCAAGCTATAAGCCTAACAGGAAAACCTCCATAAACATAGTTAAATGAAAGCCTACCTGGGCCTGCTCAAAGGCCTAGGACCACAACTTCAATTAGAAGGGGCCCCTTCTAGGGAATGTGGCTAGGGAACCCGAAGGAACCCCAGCCAGTCACTATTCAGGGGAACGTACTCACCCCGATATGCCACCAGGACGGCCTGACCTGGCGTCAGATACATAGACACTTAGTCTGGCCACTTCCTGTCTGTCCGAAGACAGAGCCTCTGGAAAAAAGCCTTAAGTAAGGCATCCAACCCGAGGGACTGCGACGCTGGCAGTGAACCACTCGGCCCGGATCTCAGAGACAGGATATCCCGGAGAGTATGACTCAGCAAGTGCTTTCCAACCCTTACCAGCGAGGGGAGTTACTCTACTCGATCCATGGATCTACCCAGTGCTTGTGTTACAAACACTGAGGAGGCCTGTGAAGGCCTAAGGGCTGATCTAACTGAGAGGCCTCACGAGAGGCCTACGACCGTCTGACCAGACTCAGGAGTCCGCGTGCTCACAGTGACCCTCAATGAGGGGAGCATATGGTCCCCCTGGTAGGCAAAACCAGGCTTTAGGCAGGAAAGAGGTTCCGAGAGGGAACCAGCAGCAGAGCTACTTTTTTTTTTTTTTTTTTTTTTAATGAACACTTCAGTCGAGCCAGGGCGCAAGCTCGCCTTCAGCAGCTGCCTGATAAGGCCAGCTGAAATGATAGCAAGAGGCCACTAGCTTCCTGAACCCAGCACCGCTAGGGAACCACTCACAAGGAGGCCTGGTGAGGCCTACTACCTGATAGCAACAGTATGTGGGACCACAACTTCAATTAGAAGGGGTCCCTTCTAGGGAATGTGGCTAGGGAACCCGAAGGAACCCCAGCCAGTCACTATTCAGGGGAACGTACTCACCCCGAAGTGCCACCAGGACGGCCTGACCTGGTGTCAGAGCATAGACACTTAGTCTGGCCACTTCCTGTCTGTCCGAAGACAGAGCCTCTGGACACTTTGCCTTAAGTAAGGCATCCAACCCGAGGGACTGCGACGCTGGCAGTGAACCACTCGGCCCGGATCTCAGAGACGGGATATCCCGGAGAGTATGACTCAGCATAGTGCTTTATGACCCTTGCTAGCGAGGGGAGTTTCTCTACTCGATCCATGGATCAACCCAGTGTTTGCAAACACTGAGGAGGCCTGTGAAGGCCTAATGGCTGATCTAACCGGGAGGCCTCACAAGAGGCCTATGACCGTCTGACCAGACTCAGGAAGCCGCATGCTCATAGAGACCCTCAGTGAGGGGAGCACAAGGTCTGCCTGGTAGGCAAACCAGGCTGTAGGCAGGAAAGGTTCCAGGAGGGAACAAATAGCAGAGAATAAACACTTTAGCGAGCCAGGGCGCAAGCTCGCCCTCAGCAGCTGCCTATTAAGGCTAGCTGAAACTGATAGCAAGAGGCCACTAGCTTCATAAACCCAGCACCATTAGAGAAACATTACAGGGAGGCCCGGAGAGGCCTACTACCTGATAACCACAGTATGTGGGGAGCTCACCTTCAGGGAGGCCTGGTGAGGCCTGCTACCTTACAACCACAGTATGTGGGGAGCTCACCTTCAGGGAGGCCTGGTGAGGCCTGCTACCTTACAACCACAGTATGTGGGGAGCTCACCTTCAGGGAGGCCTGGTGAGGCCTACTACCTGATTGCTACAGTCTGTGGGAACTCACCTTCAGGGAGGCCTGGTAAGGCCTACTACCTGATAGCAACAGTATGTGGTCACCCACAGGGAGGCCTAGAGAGGCCTACTACCTGATAACCACAGTATGTGGGAACTCACCTTCAGGGAGGCCCGGTGAGGCCTGCTACCCTACAACCACAGTATGTGGGGAGCTCACCTTCAGGGAGGCCCGGTGAGGCCTGCTACCTTACAACCACAGTATGTGGGGAGCTCACCTTCAGGGAGGCCTGGTGAGGCCTGCTACCTTACAACCACAGTATGTGGGGAGCTCACCTTCAGGGAGGCCTGGTGAGGCCTGCTACCTTACAACCACAGTATGTGGGGAGCTCACCTTCAGGGAGGCCTGGTGAGGCCTGCTACCTTACAACCACAGTATGTGGGGAGCTCACCTTCAGGGAGGCCTGGTGAGGCCTACTACCTGATTGCTACAGTCTGTGGGAACTCACCTTCAGGGAGGCCTGGTAAGGCCTACTACCTGATAGCAACAGTATGTGGTCACCTACAGGGAGGCCTAGAGAGGCCTACTACCTGATAGCGATAGTACGTGGGGAACTCACCCTCAGGGAGGCCTGGTGAGGCCTGCTACCTGATAATCACAGCATGTGGGAACTCGTTTTCAGGGAGGCCTAGTGAGGCCTACTACCTGACAGCCATAATATCTGGGAGCTTTTTACTGCTACCCGATAGTAAGCCAGGCTAGCTGTCCAGTTGCCCGTCCTTGGGCTTGTCTCTTCAGGGAGGCCTGGTGAGGCCTACTACCTGATAACCATCTTAAGTGGGAATTCACCCTCAGGAAGGCCTGAGGGGCCTACTACCTGATAGCAACTGGTAGCTGAGTCCGGGTGACAGTTCCAAGGCGGCCTGCTACGGCCAGCCAGCTGGGGACTCGCCTATCAGGGAGGCCCGGTTGGGCCTACTAGCTGATAGCAAGTCAATTCTGCTACAAAGGAACACTGTTGGGAACCATACTACACCAATGTAACTATTGGGCCCACCCACAGGAGGCCTAGTACGGCTAGCTACCTGTAGCGGCATTAAAGCATGACCCACAATGTTGGGACTCACCTCCGAGGAGGCCTGTTTAAGGCCTACTACCCACCGGTGAGTCAACTGCCCGAACCACCAAGGCCAACCAATTCTCTCGAGAAGTAGCCTATAGCGCCCTCTTGGGGGCTGCTCATACAAGGAGGCCTGCTGAGGCCTACTACCTGATGGCGCAGCCTTCGTTGGCAGATAAGCTGTTTACACAGCGCCTACAGCATCCTGGTGCCTAATCACATTGCCCATGGCAGTGTACTCAGCATAGAGAGCTAATACCCTTAGAACAAGGGGAGTACAACATACGTCACTCTGCCTCAGTGGAGGCCCCAGTTAGTCAGGGGCCTACCATCTATGCATGGGCGTCAGCACAGGGCAATGCTCTGGCTTCAGGGGAGCGAACTTCGACCAAAGAAGAAGTGAAGGCTTACTTCATACTCGACCCGAGCCATAGTAGTGCGAGGTAGGATAAAAACAGAACTGGGAGTGAAGTGCTCAGACCTACCCTGAATCACAGGGGAATACTCACACCTCACCCTGAGTTTACCACCACAGTATGTGGGGAGTAAATGTATGCTGCTCAAAAGGACTTATATACCACGGAGGCCTAACTGAGGCCTACCATGTCCTTATAAACCATCCTCTGCACCACGCTGCATTACTCTAGTCACCCCAGAATGCAGAGAAGGGGGCGGGCCTTGGCCTAACGACTCCCATGGGAGGAGGCTGATTATACAGGGATGCCAAAACCTACATTCACAAAGTGAAGGGTCAGAGGAAGAAATGCTAATTTTAGCAGAACGCCTCTAATATCCCTGGCACAGCCTAGGCCAGCTACAGAGGCGGCCCTGGTGAGGGCCAACCTGTAAGCATAGATCTATCTGAGGGCTCAGAGGAGCCACAGCCTACTAAAGAATATAGTCTGTATTATTCCATACAAAGGGCTGCAGAACGCTCAACCTAATGAAAACTCAACAGAGCTCAAGGGGCGAAATACTCAGAAAAGTCAAAACGGTCCCATGGGCCGGACATAAGATCTATCTGAAGCTCTAGCGTCAGTCAACACTCTAAGTAAACATTCTATCAGAGAGAGACCAACTACTCTACCCTGAGGTGGCTAGTAGCCCGAAGGCTAACATAGTTATCATTCTGGCCACCTAACGGGGAACTTCAGGGCCCTAATAATCCAATAAAGTTACCTTACCTTTATTACCTTGACATGACCCCATAACTCTTTATACAGGGAACGAGGTCTGTAAAGAGAAATATGTTATTTTTTATCACAAAAAATATACTCCTTGAAAAGACCAGCAGCTCACCTGCGGCGTGCAAAGTGAAGACTCACCAGACAGTTCTTCATGAACATGGGGTCTACCACCTTTACATACCTGAAAGAGGCACTCTCACTAACCAAGCCGAGGCGGGCCATCAGAACATTGTTCTAACCATGAGCCCAGCCTCAGGCCTGATGTAAGAAGCGCCTGGGGAGTCGGGGAAGAGAGGAAAAGGCAAAGATATAATCACGCCCTCAGGGAAGATGATCCAAGACCAACGCAACGTGCGTTTGTGCCGGATCACCTCCCTCAGATCCCTCTTCCCATCCACACATACCCACGCTCTCCTATCCTCTCAACATCAGCGAGCTAGCCCGCTGATGTTGGTGGATACAGGCAGAGTATAGGTACTTCCATGTCCTCTCGATCTCAGTATGAGATCGGGAAGAAATGAAAGGCTCACCTGAGCTGGTGGTTCTATGACCGGGGAAAAACCGCTCTCATCGCGAGCGATTTCTCCCCCAACGAGCAGCCACGGCAGCTGCAGCCTGCCCGCGGCGCGTTCTATAATACCAACCAGCTCAGCATACACGGGGCAGGGTGGCTGAGAAGATACAGGAAAATATTTTATTATTTCCACCCTCATCAGCCATCTCCTGTTTGTCCGGGAGAGCGCTTGCTGCCGGACTAAGTTTTCCCTTTTTTTCTTTTTTGAAAAACTTCATCCAATTGCAGCTTCTCATCAGCCGCCGCATCGTCTGAGAGGATTACACCCCTCTCAAGGCGATCGGCGAGCTTCATCTGTGACATCCAGACGCTGAACCCTCTTCTCTCGAGAAGAGGGACAGGCGCGATCACAATTTGTACAGGCAGTTCCCTCGAGAACCGCCTGTGCGCGTCTTCCTTCCCAGACAAAAAATGCACAGTTCACGTGTGTCACCCGGCTACAAATATCTTGGGCACGGGTCTGCACACTTCTGAAAGCATTTCATAATTACCTGATTTTCAAAGCAGTTACAGACAAAACAGTCCCTGAAGACGAAAAGATGATTTGTCATGTTTGCAAGGCGCCCTTATATACTTCCAGGTCGCACGTTAATCATTCACGCTAATGATTCACGGGCTGTCGCCGGTCAATGTGATTGACGTGATTTGATAGTGATTTCAGACACCTGTCACGCCTGAGGCGTTCCCCATAACGTCGATGACGTATTGTTGAGTTCCCTTCGAAAGGGAACCTACATGTTCTGTGAATAAATGGTGCAGTCATTTAACACACACACACACACGGGCGCGCGCTGAAGCACGTGTGACGCTCGAGCTGTTTTTTTTTATGACACGATTGCATGAACTTACTCTCCAGACTCTAGATCCGCTCTTAAAGTCACTTTGTGAGCATTTAACGCTACATTTGAGAAAAACTATCGTCATGTCATAAACACAGAAACTCAAATATCTTCACGGCAACCCGTCAAAATAAAAGTTCGGTTTAACATGACAGAAATATATTACTGTTGTACAATAGAATTTAGAAACGTCTCAATGTAATAATAATACTAACACTAATACAAATAAATTAAGATTAAAACGTAATTTTTGTTCAATGTTTTAATTTTAACATTAAAGCTCATTGTGCAGCATGTTGTTTTACCAAAAATGTTTATTTAATTTCATATGTTTAAAAGAAATGTAATTAATAATATATTCGAATTTTTATATATTTTATTTTTAATATTCAAAGAATATTTTAAAAATATTGTATAAGTTTATTAATAGTTTGTAATAAAAGTTTCATGATTTCAATTAATTAGACATGATTTTTGATTAATAAAAATGTACACTACGTATCCGTAACACACCCGCTCCGCAATACTAGTTTCGCAACACAAAAATGTTGAAAAAAAAAAGTTGTCCAAATGGTTCCAATTATTTCAAATACAGTGTATCTAACACACCCAGAGCCCAAGTTGTGGCAAAATAGTTTTTGGAGAATCTGTAGTTACTGCCTTTTTCCTTGGTATGATGCCACGTTTTTGGTAAGTAATACAAAGCAAGAATACAGTAACTGCAAAATAGGGGTAAAATATAGAATTAAATATAAGGATTGATATGTACAAAGAATAAGCTAATATAAAGTAACAAAACAGCCACATGTCCAATAATCTATCCTACAACTACTTAGGCTGGATGACAGGATAACTTTAAAGTCATTTTTCTCTGTTCTGCACTCTGCGTAGTTACTGCCTTTTTGCTTTGTAGGGCAGTGTATGCATCAGCATCAAAGCCATTTTTTACACACTGATTTCATATATGGCCGTCCAGCAGTCCCCAACCATTGGAAGGACATCACTCGAAGCCTAGAGTAAACTAGTGCAGGTTTACCAAACTTTGCTTCAACATACAGTAACTGTCAAAATAAATGCTGCAACATCAAATGTATTACTTTTTACGTTGGCTACATACTGTAATGAACCTTAAAAGTGCAGTATTGGTGCTTCTAATATTTAAATATATATTTCTGTTCACTTAAACATTCATCACACAGCTCTGACTTCTATATTAATAGTAAGATTCATACAGTAACTTCAAGAGCTACCCATTTATGTAATACAAGTAAACAAAACTCAAGAGAGTGCTAATATTCAACAACTAAAATCAGTATAGGGTCTCTAACAGATATTGGCAGATTATGTGTTACCTTGGTATTTAAAAGAAACAAACCAGTGTCATCGCTGCTACTAAATGCAAAAACCTTTGTGTTTAGCTTTAAAGAGAGTTCTTGAAAGAAAAAAAAAATTACATAACATGGTCCTTGATTGACAATTTATATAAGTCCCAATAATGACTTCAAAGCTGCACGTGGGCTTCAGGTCTCACCGCAGGAAATATGTGCCTTTGCTTTCATCTAAGTACAAAAAACAACATCACAGCAGAATGCAAAAACATCAGGATAAATACAATTATCATATGGCAAACAATGCCCACTTGTCAGTTGCTCAAGTCTTGAAGGAAAAAAAAGTATTTATTTAACAAGGCCATATTATGCTCTTTTAGAAAGTCTGGATTTAGTTTGTGGGGTTTTCTAGAATCGGTTTCAATGCTTGAATGTTCAAAATACACATTATTTTTCACATATTTGACATTGTTGCAGCACCTCTCTTCCCAGTCTGTCAGTAACACTACTTAGATCCTGTGTCCTGAAGCCCCTCCTTCTGAAAAGCACAATGTGCTCTGATTGGTCAGCTGGACCAGTGTGTTGTGATTGGTCAACCGCTTTGTGAATTATAAACAACACTTTAACACCAGTTTATCTGGGTAGTGTAAATGCAAAGTTTTGCCAACTAGAAGTACAGAACTGCTGTTACTTGCTGGTTCAGCTGATATTCACTCATCACGGCTCCCTGATGTTCCAGAGAATAGTACAGTGTGTAGAGTAAAAAAGTATTTCACCTCAGAAAGAATGTGATCACCATAAAGTATCATGTAACTTCACTTGATTGATTTATACAGATAAATAAAATAGATTTTCGTAACACTTTATTTTAAAGTGACCTAGTTACACGTTACATGTACTTACTATAGTAATAACAGTAAATTATGCACAGTTACAAGTAACTAACCGTAAACCAAAACGTAACCCTACACTCTAAAAAATGGCTGGGTTAAAACAACCCAATTTGGGTTATTTTGGCAACCCAACGCTGGGTCAAATATGGACTAACCCAGCGGTGGGTTATTTTAACCCAGTTGGTTGGGTTAAATCTTTGACCCAACATGCTGGGTTGTTTAATTGAACTAAACTATTGATTAAAAATTACTACATTGCTGGTTAAAAACAAATCTGAAATAGGTTTGAAAATACTGAGTGCAGAGAATTACCAGAGGAAACAGTAATAATCAAAAGGAGAAGATTCATTAATAAGAAAGAACATCCAAATGTAATATAAAAAGAAATTCATAGAAAAAAGGCAATTTTTTCATTCTCAATGAACAATAAAACAGCATATAAAACATTTCATTCCAATTTGTTTATAAATATTTAAAAAATAAATATTAAATAATAAAAAAATATTTAAAAAATAAATAACATCAATCAATTACATTAGCTTCACTTTTAACATAGAATTACATTAGCTTCACTTTTAACATTGAATTACATTAGCTTCACTTTTAACATTTACATAAGGTAATCAAAGTGGCACAAGTGCTTTATAAATTCATTTGACACCCCTTAATTTAAACTCATAGCTTTTTAGAGAGTAAGGTTAACAAAGTGGCACAAGAATACAGTGGCACAAGTAAAATGCCTTAGATATATGCATTAGTCTGACAATTTTCCTCTTCATATAAACTCATAACATTTTAGAGAGGGTTAGTTGTTTTGGTTCCAGTACTGCTTAACATGAAAAATATCCACGGAGCAGTCTTACTGAAGGGGATTCTGTTCCTGGGAGTTTGTAGACAACAGTCTGCAAAATATCCCACACTGGTGCGCACTGCTTCGGGAAATGGATGTCCAAAACATAAAAAAGTTTAAAGCATGTGTCCACAGCACCAAGGAGAGTGTTTTGCTGTAGTGCCTGTTTGCCAACAATTACAAAGGCCTTATGGCACTGACTGTCATCCCCAAGACCAAGGACGAAGGGGAAGGGGTTTAGTGAGCCCAGCCACCTGCAAGTGTTCAACTATGTTGGTCCCAACCTGTTAAAAACAGAAGAATGTTAAAAACATACAACTCACAACACAATGCACAATGCAGCATTATATACAAAATTAGGGGTGGGACAAAATATCGATATGGCGATATATTGTTGTCCTTCTCCGTGCGATACGACAATCGATACTTTGAAATGACTTAAAGGGATAGTTCGGCCAAAAATGATATTTAACACATGCATTACTCACCCTCAAGCCGTTCGAGATGCATATGTCAATCTTGTTTCAGACGAACACATTTTCAGTTATTTTAGAAAATGTCTTAGACCCTTGTGACCCTTGTCTTAGACCCTTATATCCATAAGTGGATATAATGTGAAGCAATGGGGTCCACCTCCTTCAAGTCCCAAAATGTGCATACATCCTTCACAAAAGTAATCAATCCGGCTCCAGGGGGATAAACGAAGGCCTTCTGAGGGTAATCCGTGCGGTTACATATTTAAAACTTTATAAATGAAAATATCTGACTTCCGGCAACGATCGACGCGCGTTCACGGGTGATGGAAGTCGGCGTACGAGGTAGGACGTAGCGTAGGAACCATCGTGACGTAGAACGAACGCGCCTGCGCAGCCAGAGAGCAGAGCAAAACAACGTCTACGTCACGACGGTTCCTACGCTACGTCCTACCTCGTACGCCGACTTCCATCACCCGTGAACGCGCGTCGATCGTTGCCGGAAGTCAGATATTTTCATTTATAACGTTTTTAATATGTATATTTTTACGACAAAACCGCACGGATTACCCTCAGAAGGCCTTCGTTTATCCCCCTGGAGCCGGATGGATTACTTTTGTGAAGGATGTATGCACATTTTGGGACTTGAAGGAGGTGGACCCCATTGCTTCACATTATATCCACTGAAGCGTCTAAGACATTTTCTAAAATAATTGAAAATGTGTTCGTCTGAAACAAGATTGACATATGCATCTCGAACGGCTTGAGGGTGAGTAATGCATGTGTTAAATATCATTTTTGGCCGAACTATCCCTTTAAGAAAAGGGCATGAGGCACTCAGGAGGATGAAGGTTAAAAAGCCTTTATTAATCCATGTCCCAATTCACCTAAGTTACACTACGCCATAAAAGTATGTACTCTTTTGTGAAGAAAAGGTATTTAGTTTTGAATGTGTAGCAAAAAAGTAGGCAAGCTTTGGGACATACTACTTCGTCATCTTTATCGGACGGATCTGTCACGTAAACTGCCCTGTCAATCATTGTGTCACAGTTAAAATCCTCTATTAAATCTAATTTAATTTCCTACCGTTTCGGAGAGAAATGTAGTAGCCCGTTAATCTGCCAGTTACTGTCCTCATGTGTTTCCAATTTGAAAATAATAATGCATTTAAAAGTTGCGCTTCACCAACAGACGTCGCTCAAATGCCTCTGGGCGCAATTGGATAGACCTAAAACCAATCAGAGCGATCGTCATCGTGTAATGCCCGCCTCAACGTTTCTGATTGGTGCTGCTAATTTGCTGGATTAGAAATGGGCTTGAATGAGCTCTTTGCCAGACTACTTTCAGAGCAAATCTAAATTTGCCAGAAGTTGTCTGGGTTTTCCCAGGCTAACATAAGACGTGATTCCCTTCCGAAGGACATGTGAAAAACGTTGCGTATGTGCTTCTGAAGGAAAGCACTTTTACCTGATATCTCATTTTAAAATATGAGAGATTAATATAGATTGATTTAAAATGATTAATATAACAATGGTAGTTTATTTTCATTAATATGCATGATAGGCCAATTTAATCACATTTTTTAAAATGTCATTGTTTTTATGGATCATTTCATAGATGTTTGCTGACACTATTTGAGGCAATCTAACTTTTATTGTTTAAGGCATGTTTAAGCATGTTTGCACAGTTAAGTTTACATTATCTTACTTTTGTTTATAAACTATATTTTTATAGTTTAATTTAATTAATAAACCCTCTGGTTTTTTTCAGGCTTCAGTTATTGTTGGGATAATCTTTAAGTTGACAGCATAATCAAATTATATATCATGATAAATATTGTTATTATTCGTTGTAGTCGCATAACATCAGTTAATGGAAACGCCGTCATTTCGCGATAATTTTTTATCGACATTTAGAAAAAAATCGCAAAAGTTTTGCGCAAATCTGTAATGGAAACGCGCCCAATGAAATTAAGAGCATTTGCCAAAATAATAAAAACTTGGTTTTAGTAAAAGATAACAAATTTAAACATTTACCTGGTATATCCAAGATGCTGATCATGGCTTGAGAATCCTTCTTACGGCCTGCTGAGTTTTCACGGCGTGATCTCTTTCTGATATTTCTTAGGCGTTCCTCCAGGAATCCAGTAGCTGGACGATGGCTTCGTCCTGGGTTGAACCATGCTTCCTAAAAACACAAAATAAGTTTGTATCCTGTAGGAATGTGACCAAAACTAAATACTTTATTTGCAAAGGCACATATAATGAATAACACATTCTATGGAGCTCCTAAAGGGACATGGTGATGGAACAAATTTGAGATAGGAGGACAAATTAAGTTTCAATGCTTTTGCTCACAAAAGTTTAACAAATAAACTAAGGTTGTGCAATGTCTATCAAACTGACATCAGACAATGTTTACAGTGAAAGGTCTGCACCGGACTTTTTTCCCCAGATGATGACAGAACAGAATTTTAATTATTGGGTGAACTGACCCTTTGAGATAAACTGGCTAGTTTATTGCTGCATAATCAAATCTGTTTTACTGAATCCATTTTTCCAGGATCCATTTATTATTCAAGAGCCAAACATTATTATTACTATTATTGTAATATATAAAATCTATATTGTAAAGATTTAATTTTGTCTGGGCAAATATTTAATTATTTTACACAGAGAAACGTTGGATTATGCAACAGACATATTCAGTGCCTTCTTGTAGTTCATTAATAAACCATGACTGCGTCCCAATGTGCATGCTGCTACTATCCATCCTAAATAGTATGTGACATTAGTAATTGTCAATACGATTTAGGGCAGATAGGGTGGATAGTATTCACATTGGGACGCAGGGTATTATCACTTTGTTATATCTGCGTAGATATGACCATATGACTATGGTTTTAAATTTCCTCGTAAGTGCACCTTACATACAGATATGTCACACATGAACTCACTCATGCTTTGTATAAGAAAGCCATGTCTCAACATCTTAAGATATTAAATGTGTGTGGTGTAGCTTGTTTAAAGCTTGTTTAGTGTTTAATAAGTAACGTTAAAACTGCATATTATTATGTCTGAGGAACATTGTAGCCTGCGCTACTTCTCTCTGTTTATATGAATATATACTTACTCAGCTAAAGTAACGTTACTCTGCAGTAGAGATAGGTCCAACAAGTCCGACTATAAACACTTATTCAAAACTCAATCTAGGGTTTCATGACTGGACAAAAACACGGTTTGGAAGATGAACTCATGACGTAACGTTACTCTCTAATTTTGATAATTTTAAACAAAAAATGCGATAGTTTATAAACGCCTGACGCGAGTGTCGTATCATAAAGCAAACGACGCTCGCGTACCGACAATCGACTTTAAAAAACCCCCAATAAAGACACATAACGTTAGCAAACTAAATGACTCACATAAGTCACATATTTCAGGGCAAATGTTGGCCAAAAGAGGTATCTGACTTATTCCAAAGGTAGGGAAAGCTGTAACGTTAACGTTTTAACAAAGTATAACGTTAGGGCTAACGTTAACGAACGAAGCTAGGGGTTACTGCTAACTGTTAGCCTACTTCAAGACTTTTTGTGCCGTGTGAATCGCCCTATTTAGCAAACTTTTACATTTTCTGGGGTACAGTAATATTTTTCCAGATTAACTCTAGTCTAAAACATACCTTTTTTCGCCGAATAACAGCTGTCCTTGCTGAAAAACGATCTTCTGAGGTGATCCAAAATGCCCGCGAAGGTGGAGTTGTTACTGAAGCCTTGTTTGAGGCGTCGATGGGGGAGGGGTGAGTTCACTGTTTCAACGGTCACAACCAGTAACCCAGCGTTGGGTTACACAAAAAAGTACCCAACAGTGAGAAAAATAACCCAATAAAATGACCCAACAGTCTCAACCCAGCGGTTGGGTTGAAAAAATAACCCAGCATTTTTTAGAGTGTAACCGTAACTCTATAAAGTACATGTAGTTAATTAATAAATATTTGAGGAAGTGGAATGTAATTATGTCGGTTACACTATATTTTAAGGTGTCATTGTTACAGTGCAATTATATATTTAAGTACTGAGTAATATTAATTAAAAACATGTACATACAATAGGGTTAGGGTTTGGTTGAGGGTTAGTTGCATGTAATTATGCGTAATTTACTGTTGTAATTATGCGTAATTTACTGTTATTGCTATGGTAAGTACTTATGGAACAAGGACACTGTAAAATAAAGTGTTACCAATGTAACCTATATTTATTTTACCAATTAAAACATGACACAATAACATTATAATACTAATATTCAATGCGACTGCTGTAAATTAGAGTTGTTTATTGATGAATACCGTAATTTAATTACTTACGTGATATGCTGATTAATCAAACAAATTACTAGCAATTAATATTAGCTGAGAAAAGCCCCCAAATGAGACTAACTTAAGATATAGTATTGTGGCAGATGCTTTGGAAAAAGGTAAAAAACTGGCTCATTTTCATATTACTGAATATCATATAAGCTGTAATAGAAAATATTGGTAGAGATTTGGCAGTAGTCTCCTAACTTCAGTATTAAAATGTGCTTGCCGTCTACCAAAATATACACCCATGACTCATATGTATATTTCTGGATGAAAAAAAATGAAAAAGTATTAGACTCTTTATTTAGAAGCCTGCTGTCAATGACATTATTAATGGGTGGATTTCATATTACACCAGTACTCTGCGCCCTGTGATATCAATTAAATTCACATTATATCTGAGATTGTTATAACTACAAGGCCTTGAAGCATAAGAGATCAAGTGAAATTCAATAAAAAAATATTTGCCTTCTGCTTCAGAGAGATCTAATTTCATGCTAAAATGCTTGTGAAATAATGGTTAAACCTATTGAAATCTAGAGTTAATATTGTGTTCTCAATGCCAGGGTAGAATAAACACATTCTGAAACGGGAACTTATGAATTCAACTTACATTGCACAACAAGTCTCTTTGAAACTCGAACAAGACGACAATGAACCAATATATATATTTGTCCTAAATTTAGAAGTCTTAACAATCATTGATGTCAAATTAATTTCTGATACAATATAAGGTAACACTTTACTTTACAGTGTCCTTGTTTCACATTTAGTTACTGTAATAATGACAATACATTATGCATAATTACATGCAACTAACCCTAAACCAAACCCTAACACTACAGTAAGTAGATGCAGTTTAATAGTATTACTCAGTACTTGAATGTATAATTACACTGAAAAAAGGCCGCCTTAAAATAAAGTGTAACCCAATATAATCATATTAATACATGTAATATATAAATTATGTTAATCTTCGTATTATGAATAAAAATCATATGCTATTTCTTAGTCAGAAATGCCATCTCTAAGCAGCATGTATCAGTTTTGACCTCCAAATGAACTTATATAAAGCCCATAGAGTAAATAATATGGAAATTCCCATGCATCACTAATGATCGCAATGGTTCCAAAAGTCGGCAAAACTAAACTTGGACTTGATACGAGCCACCAGTATGGGGACAAGCAGACCCTTGCTACACATCCAGCCCTGCTATTTACACCACAAGATAATTATCCAGATTGCTAATGCCCGATTTGGAGCCGACAGAGACGCCCATCCATTTAGTTAACTTTGCCAGCAGATCTTTCATGGCAGAAGAAATCCATTCCAATATGTCTAGTTACGCACACTTATTATTTTCATCAGACATCCTCTCACACAATCTTTGCCTTCAACCTTCCCTAGTCACATAACTTCATGTTGATTGTTTTCATTTCTGTAAACTATATTTGCCCAAGGATAATGAGAAGGAAAATTCAGTGTACAGGGAAAAACAACACCGAACAACAAAAGATTTTGTGGATAATGAGACTCTTAATGAGAGGATGATGGTATGCCCAAAATGGTACTTGATGGAATATTAAAATTGTAATATTTGGAGCTGTGAATGCTTCGTATACAGTTCAATTTAAGGGAACAACTGAATGCTGATCATATTGCTGCAGAGAGAATCTGCACCATGTTTAAGAAGCACTTTTATCATTTACAAAAATCTCCTGTATAGCCTACTACCGTTCAAAAGTTTGGGGTCGATTAAATGTTTCAATGTTTTTGAAGAAAAGTTATTTATGCTCACCAAGGCTGCATTTATTTGATATAAAAATACAGTAAAAGCATTTATATTGTGAAATAATATTATGATTTAAAATAACAGTTTTCTGCTTCAATATGGTTTTAAATTGTAATTTATTCCTGTGATGCAAAGCTGAATTTTCAGCATCATTACTCCAGGATTCAGTGTCACATGATCCATCAGAAATTATTCCAATATGCTGATTTGCTGCTCAAGAAACATTTCTTATTATTATCAATGCGGAAGACAGCGGTGCTCCTTAATATTTTTGAGGAAACTTTTTTTCAAAAAACTAAATTAATTTGAAATAGAATGTATTTTGTAATATTACAAATGTTTTTACCGTCACTTTGGATCAATGCATCCAATTATTCATTAAAAAAAATAATAATAATCTTACTGACCCCAAACCTTTGAGCAAAAGTGTGTTTAAATATATAGTAGAATGCCTTCTTATAATCATAAGACTTTTCAGGTTTCTACATTGTTCACATACTTGCCAAACTTTCTTTGCACCACTAAACAAACAAAGAGATCCAGAGAAGGAGGGAGGGAGAAAGAGAGCAGAAGAGAATTAAATGCTGCTTGAGTGATGGCAGATGACCAGAGGCAGAAATACACATCAGTTATTCACAGTCTCTAATGATCGCATGTCTCTGCCGAGGACATTTTCCGAGAAAAAGCCACATTTAACAAACCAAGGCGGTCTCATATGGGAAACTACGCTTTTTTCTTTCTTTCTGTGTACCTCCAAAACATCACTCTGGTGACATTCAGTTAAAAGCCTTTGCAGTCTTAGATATTATCCCGTTTGAGTGGCGCAAACATGTGGCTTCAACTGTTTTAATATATTGTATAATCCCAACCACTGCAGAACATGAAAAACATAACAGGCTGACACATAGTGATGATAATTTCAAAAAATATTATCTAAGATATCTAATATTATCTAAGTATTCCAAGACTTATGATACCATATAATAGCTTTGCATTATCAACCCCCCTCTATGCCAAATCTCTTTCAAAAATACACTG